ATGGACAGGAATGGCACAGGAAGGCATGACACAATTGGCTGCCTAGGGCAAAGCATCTTGTGCATGCTGGTGTTAGAATTAATAACATCCAACCTGGTACCTAATGATGCTGCTAGAGGTGGAATTGCACTTCCAGTAGCTAAGGGGCCAATCTCTGTATGTGCAGCATTTCAAAGCATTTTAATGCACATACAGATTCCAGGCATCATTACCACTTCTAATCACAGAAGTGGTCATGGTGCTTAGCGTAACCCTTTAAAAGTACTGTGAATACTGATTCATAACCGCTACATTGTTTTCTATTCTCAGTTAAAATTAGTAACTTGAGTGTTATCGAACCTGAAAAAACCTTTGTCAACCAATTTTCTTCCAAAAGTCTATTAAAAAGTCATGTCTTTATAATTAAGCCCAGAAAAGTTCATTGTCTGTTGGCAATGGAGTTGAGATTAAGCTTTTTTAAGAGCACTGAGAATATAATAAAACAATAAAGATTGAAAATACAATATGGCAAACTTTTTTGACGATTGTGGACCTTTAAAACTTCAGATAATTGTGTATGATTGTGTTGATTATACTTATTAAAAGAAGTGGCACTTTTGTTCTCCAACAATTTGCAGAAAAAATTGATATGTGCAACATGAGTCACTTTTTTCAATTGCAATAAATCAATATTAACAAAGGAGAGTATTTTTAAGCCTGATTCTACTAATTCAGGAATGTAAAATTACTTGGATTTGATTTTAGTAAGCTAAGGGCCATACATAAAGCCATACAAAAGCCAGTGAGAGGCTCCATGTAATGTAATTTTTACAAGAAGACGCTTATAAATATGACAAGTACCATTGTCCTTGTTTTTGCTCCCTTAAAATGTACTGTTTTCTTCCATCATGAAAATTACACTTTGTGTAGCATTATATTGTCTGTGTAACCTTGAAAGGTAAATAACAATAGGTATTGGATCATAGTGTAATCATTCCTTATGTTGTTAATGACAATACATTCTAGTTAAGTGCAAATCTCTGAATTATACATTAATTCTTATACTGAAATGTTTTTTTTTAATGTTTAAAAAGAATCTCGTAATTCTGTCTAAAAAACAGTAACAATGATATTTGTCATATTTTTATTTTTCATTTTACCTACAAATATTCATATTAGTTATTGGGAGTAAGTTATATATATTGCCATCCTCATGAAATCCCATGTATTGGGTCTGAAACGTCGATATTTGTAAAAAAACAGAGTATAAAAGTTATATTTTATAGTTACTCTCATCAAGTCCTTGGTGTGTGGTCATTTCCAATCATTTTTTTGTATTCTGTGCCTGACCAGCACCAGGCAATTACTTTCTAATTCAGGAGCAAGCATCTCTGTTTTCATATATATATATATATATATATATATATATATATATATATATATATATATATATATATATATATATAAATAGATTATGGTGGGGAAAAATTGTGATTGAAAACCCCTTCCACCTGAAGTATGTGGATAGTTAATACAATGCTAAACAAAAATCTGCACACCAGTCAAGCCATAAGACTTGCTTTTCCCACAGAAATCCCAAACATCACTGCTGATTTGGGATTTCTGTGGGAAAAGCAAGTCTTATGGCTTGACTGGTGTGCAGATTTTTGTTTAGCATTGTATTAACTATATATATATATATATATATATATATATATATATATATATATATATATATATATATATATATATATATATATATATATATATATATATAGTATATGTTATACATAACAATTATATATATAAAGTTTATATGTAAATTTTTTATATATACATTTATATTTCCTGGCCATATCCATGGCAGCACAACAATGGGTAGCTCCTACTATCCCTAATTAGTCAGGAACTCATAATTAAAAAGTCATTTTGTTCCTGTCCTATCCCTAGGACATACTTGGTCTTTTTGTACTAAGAGATTTTTCTTTTTGGCTTACCTGAGGGTAGTTACTCTCGACCTCAAGTGAGTTCAGCCTCTCTCCCTTGGGAAGTCTTCAGTACACGGCCCTCCGCAAAGGTGACCCCCTGAAGTAACCCCTTTAGTGACCAGGGATTATAAACTTGCAGCGACCCATGGGGTAGCAAGATTACAACCTCAGCAACAAATTGCAGTGACCCAAAGAGTATCAATATGTCATGTAAAGGAGGATTTCATGGATACATGATTTGGAAGAATTGATTCCTTAATACATAAGGATGCAGAGGCAAGCTGAATCTGTTATTTTATACCTTCATTTCTCCTTAATTTTCTTCTTCTTTGGTGCTTCAAGGATTTTGGAGGGTATTGTCTCTTTAAGAAGGGCATGTCAATCCTTGTTTCGAGCTGCAAGCCATAAAACCATATTGTTATGCCATATAATGTTGAGAACACATATATTGTAATTTTTACTGATATTTTATAGGAGGATAGATTACATTGATCATATTTTAAACATAAATAACTTTTTTTCACAGTTTTAATTGGACTATTTTATTTTTTCAAAGCAACCTCTGAGGTTTTGGGGTTTTAAACATTTTTACAAAAGCAGTAGTAGAAATAGGAAACTGTCCTCACGCAAGTAGTTTGAGATACTCATTTTAAATATATCAGTGTGTGTTTGCTGCTTATTTCATTCAATACCTACTTTTATTACTAATGGAAATCCACAGGCAACGAACAATTACACTTTCATTGGATGGAACTTTTCTTTTATAATCTTTCTCTCTGACCTGACTGCTAATATTGCTTTCTAAAGGAAAATGAGCACAATTTGATGACTCATAGCTTGATTGTAATAATGTTGAAGATGCATCATTTACAAGAGGCTTACCATTCATAGCATTAAACTACTTACTAAATTAAATTTTGAAATTTAATCTGATTTAATCTCCTTTGGTGTAAACAATTGTCTTGAGATTTTGAGTACACAATACATGTATAGCCAGTGTTTTAAGATATTGTTTATGTAGCCAGGTTTAAAGGAACACACCATAGCCCCTTTAGCTCTTATAGTGGTTATGGTACCAGGAATGTCCTCCCAATCTGCCAGTGTTAGAAGACAAAAAAAATTGAAATGGTTTGATTTCTTACCTGGGGCCTGACAAGCACCACTCCCCACCACCACTACTAATGTTGATGAGCTGAAAGTTCCTAAGTAGTAACTTCTGTTTATATTCCTGACCTAAGTCTAGCACTGAAACTAGCTACAGTAGTTATGGTGCTTGAAAAGTTTCACTATTGAATGATTTACCAAAAGATTAATGGTACTTTGTCATGTGTGGAATCAATTGTCATCTTTCATGTTGGTATTTCTAAAATAATGCACATTTTTCTTTTCTTTCATTTTAGGAAACTGCTACTAAAGGAGGAAAATGGTAAAGAAGCTTTGAGTGCAGAAACAATCGAAATTAAAATATCAAATGACATAATTCAAACAAAAGAAAGTGATAGCAAAGCATAGCATGGTGACGTCCATATCGGCTTGATGGGGACATTGATGGTGTAATCTGAATATCAATGCTCTGCTGCAGACGATTGTTGGCTAATATTAGCTTTCAATTGTCAGTACAAGTATCCATATCTGAACTACTCACATTTACTGTACTTTATTGTTTTGTTGATTAATTTAGTATGTTTGTCTGACTGATAGCAGTACAAATGTATAAAGTTGAAAATGATTGCAAAAAAATCTTTAATTTATTTAAAATAAAATGTTCTATTTATAAAATATTTTCTTTTTCCTTGTTAAAAAGGCTTCATGTGTTTGGCAAATATGCTATACTAATATATAATGCATACTATATCACATGTATTGCCCTTTTCAACCATGCCTTATACTCATTTGTAACTTTTTTCCATGCTTAAACAATTTCAGTAAAAATAAACTATTTTTTTATATATATAAAATTTAGAGACACATAAAGCAATGTTCTAAAACAAATTAATGAAAACCATGGTACTCATCCTCTAAAGAAGTGTTCCCAAACCAGTCCTCATGACCCACCAACAATCAAGCATTTATGTATTTTCCTTTTTTATTTAAATGGAGATATTGGCAAAACCTGGACTATTGGTAGGGCTTGGGGACTGGTTTGGGAAAAACTGTTCTAAGTGGTACAATTGTAATGAACCAGCTTGCATAATGGTTTAAGAAATAGTTATCACTTGGGGATAAAAGTCAGCTGTTTTCTAAAGAGAATTACATACTCTATTGATTGATTAAGTGAGGGAGTTATGATAGTATAAGATTCCATTTAAATCTGGGATGTCCTGCTTAGTGCTTTTCTCAGTTTCAAAACCCATCTCTTTCCAATGATAGGAGGTATATTAATTATGGTCCAGTACATACACAATACCCTAGTACATAAAAGTTTCTTACTTACTATTAGAGTGCCACTGGCATACCCATGACCTTTAGCAATGAAAATGTAAACTATGTCTATAGGTCACCCAAACATATCCAGAAAGCATTAATTAAAATACAAAAATGTCTTACCAGACTGTCCATACAATCCTATTGATCTGTCTGTCAATGTACAATTATTAAATAAAAAAAATAAAAAATAAAAAAAACAAGCTTAATTGTCAATATCCATGTTTCCTCATTGAATGCCCATTTAGAAAAAAAATCAAAATGCTAAGCAAAATCAAATAAAGTGTTTATTAGTATAGATTAATGTCGTTACTAAAATAATGTGTACAGAGAAAGGATTGGGGGCACACCCGAGACCTTCATTTTGCATGAAAGGTGCTGCCACAGTGACCAAACTTCATACATGAAAAAAATTGTAGCGGCGCACTCAGACTACAAAAAATACAACACAAAGAAGGCTTCTAAATTGCCTATCTAAGAATAAATATGGGGATTTAGTTCCACCATATGGCCATATGATGTTAAGCCCACCACTGCTTTCAAAGTACCCCAATGTTGGTGGGTCCTATGCTAAAATGTGGGGGGAAAATTAAATAGTACTAGTGTTAAAAAAAAGTGTATTATTAAATCCTTGTAAGAGCAAAGTGAGTATACAAAAATAAAGTGATAAAAAGAAATTAAAAACAGTGTTAAAACTAAACAATTAAAGTGGTAGTGCTAGAATGAAGATACTCACTATTGCAGATATCTGTGTTGAATGGAGAAAATAATAAAAGTGACCTGTGAAAACTCCTCCTATATATACACACCTGTGGCCATCTCTAAAGGGGCCTATGAAGCTGGGGGGCCTGGGTGGGGTGCTTAACCCCAACGGAATATGGTCTGAATTCCAAATATACTGTGTACAGAGAAAGGATTGGGGGCGCACCCGAGACCTGCATTTTACATGAAAGGTGCTGTCGCAGTGACCAAACTTCATACATGAAAAAAATAGTAGCGGCGCACTAAGACTACAAAAAATACAACACAAAGAAGGCTTCTAAATTGCCTATATAAGAATAAATATGGGGATTTAGTTCCACCATATGATGTTAAGCCCACCACTGCTTTCAAAGTACCCCAATGTTGGTGGGTCCTAAGCTAAAATGTGGAGGACAAATTAAATAGTACTAGTGTTAATTTTAGCGTAGGACCCACCAACATTGGGGTACTTTGAAAGCAGTTGTGGGCTTAACATCATATGGCCATATGGTGGAACTAAATCCCCATATTTATTCTTAAATAGGCAATTTAGAAGCCTTCATTGTGTTGTATTTTTTGTAGTCTGAGTGCACCGTAACAATTTTTTTCATGTTACTAAAATAATGACTTCTGCTTCTAGGTTGAAGAGCAGCTTGTGTGACTTGGAAGTTCCTTCAGTTATCATTCCAACTCCCCAATAAACTATACAGAGAGAAAGTATACAATTCATGTCCTTCATCTAGGCAACATCTATACATTTTCCTTGCTATGCCTCCCTTACTATTATTTATGATATGTACAGGGGGGGAAGTCACACAGCTTATGATGTGAAACAACAAACCATCTTTTTTAAATAATCTATGTATTCTATTATTTGCATGCAGAGTACTCAAATCCCTGAGGGATATTTTTTGCTTTTAAAGATGTTTGCATTTTGTCATATGGTATCACAGGGGTGATCAAAGTTGATTTAACAGGTTTTAAGTTGAATTTTTTGAAAGTCAGCTTTTTTTCAACCTTATTAGTGAATATTACTATGAGTGAATAGTAAAGATATGCTTTAGACAGTGATCTTGAATGTATTTACTTTAATATTTTCAACCTTGAAATAGTAGAAATAAGGGTATATAAATAGCTGACATTTTTCGGTGGTCTTGAGTAAGCATTACAATGACTGAAATGCATTCTTTAATTACAGCATATACTTATACTTTCTTTCATTTAAATGCATATGATTTTAAGGATAGATTTGCTCTTAAGTATTGTCAGTTTTAAATCTCTCTACTTAGATATGTGACATATGTGTAGACACATATTTTCATTTGCACTGACTGGTAGGCAATTTATAAATTTTCAATATGTACAAAGTTTTTCCATTATACTAAACACCAAATCAATAAAGCTATATTTTCTGTCTGTGAGTTAACTATAGATATATTTCTAAAATCTATATAGAATTATTCACTATTTATCAATAAAATGTGAATGATGAAATCATTAACTAACATATGTAGGTCATGTAATAAACAATGCATGAGCCTTTCAGTAAAAATAACATTATAAAAAGACTTATTAAAAAATTATATTAAATAAAATTAGCAGTTGGAAAGTTTATTTACTTTATGTTATGTTATTTTAAAATTAATTTAATTTAATTAAGAGTTTTGCAGTTATTAGTTTCCACTGACCTTTTTACTGAACAGTACGTGGGGATAACTTTAAAAATAATCTGCAATTATTTAATTGAGCCTTACATTTTGTAAACCAGTTCTCAAGTTATGAAGATATCACACTATTAGAGAATAACATCTGTGGAAGAGAGGCTCAAATGTTAGATCAAAATATTTTTTAGAATTACAACTTCAACGATGCTTTGACTTTTTAAAGGTTGGCAGAGCATCATACAAGTAACAATTCTAAAGCATCTGTATCTACCTTTGGGGCACCCAGACTTTATTTATCATACAATTAATTTTGGTAACTGAAAAACAATATATGGACAAATTTAGGTCAAAATCAAGAAGTTGGATAAGCAGCTAAATTGGAGAATTTTTACAATGCAGCTATTTTGGCCAAAAATTTGTAATTCAGTTTTCAATTCACTGGTTAGTGAATTCATCCTTATCTCTTATATTATATCATATTTCATTGAAATAGTATTTAAACCTGGCTTAAAGTAAACAATTCTTATTTGACAGATATTTTTTCTTGGTTACAGAAGAGCCAATAAACAAAACTAAAGATGTCTTTTTATGCTTGTCATTTTTGTCACAAATACACAACTATGCACAAACAGAAACAAATGAAATTAATTTGTGTTGTGTAGGTATATAATATATGATAAACATTAATTACTTATTTACTTAATGAATATGTCAGAGTTATTCTTTTATTTTTTTGTTCATAAAAACAAATGTTAATATAAAAATGATAACTTTTTGTTTTAAATAGGACTGTTATATTGCACCACATTTATTTATTTTAAGCATTGAATTTAACTTAACAGCTAATTTTTCAAAGAAGCAGCTTATTTTAATATATAAGAATAAATGAAAAAGAAAAGAAACAGCCACCAGCTAGTGCTTATCTGTTAATTATCCAGTAAATGAAAGAGTACATATAAATGACAATAAAAAGGTAACTGTGTGCTAATTATCAAATAAATGATATAATTAGTATAATTGAAATTACTTTTTAATGTGTAATACAAACTTACTTTTTGCAATTAATTGAATACAATCCATGTCAAACACATGTGCTATCTTTGGAGAAACCTTACACTAGAGTACATCTTACCTAAATGTAATATACATATACAAACACAAAAAAATTGCACTCATAAATATTAACAAAATAGAGTAAATGGATACTTTACAAATAGCTTTGCAAAACACAATGACATGCACAAGTTTATTCTTAACACACAAGTCTAGACAGCTCACATACCCAATACACACAAACACACACACACTCATACATATGGACAGTAAAAATGTTTTTCTTTTCAATGTATGAACACACTAAGTTCCAATCTATCACTTCTTTCCTAATCCTATTTGAGTCTGGATTGTGATTGTTTGCTAAGCAGTTAGTGATAGTCACTTGTTTAAAGCCTATACATCTATTATTTAAATGGAGGAGGAGATGGACATTGAGATGGAGGAGGAGAAAAAACTGAAGAATGTATAGGATGTGCTTCAATATCATCACATGGACATTCAGATAGACATTAACAAAAACATTTTCAACACAAATGCATTTTTTGAAAAAGAAGCTTGCTGGAGCAGCAAGGGGTAACTCAGTGATAATGAGTGCAAAAGAAAAACAGGTCAACAAATGTAAAGACATAAAAAACCATATGTTGTAGTTGATTTTAGTGATTATTCCTTCTCGAGTAAAGTAAGATAAAATAGAAATGTACATTTTTGCAGCACATTCCACCACATAGAACTTATCCGAAAAAAGAGTAAGCCTGTGGACACAATGCTGTGCTAGCTTCAGATGCCACAGGACATGTGGTGATGACAATAGTTGGAGAAATGCCTGTCAGGAAAGCATGATATAACATAGCATTCCTAAGTTTTCAGAGAGTCATTGGCTTGTGTACTTTTATACAGAATGTTATGGAAGTCACCAATTGCTATTTACTAAAAAATGCCTAAGAATATTCACCTGTTCCTAAGGTTCATTAGTATTCACCAAAAAAAAAGGCAAAAAAAAGGACACAAATAATTAAACATGTATGTAAATACATTATTCAATATATATAAAAAAGGGAATGAACAAGAAAAAAATAGTAACAAAATTTTATTTGTTTTGGGCTAACCTCCCATAATCAAAGGCAAGGTTTTAGATTAGGGTTGAATCAAATGACTCAACGTAAACAATAAAAAAAGAAAAACAATTGTATATTGCACGGGAAAGTACAATTTCTATAATATTATACAGCCTAATTTATGGCTCATTATCAATGTTGTCACAAATTATTTTCTGTCAGCTGCTACTAAGTGAAATGCCTGTTACTACAGTTAGCAAGTAGCAGTCATTTGACAACTTCATAATTTCAATAATAGTGATAAGGAGTTAGCAGCGGCCTCTGCTTAAATCTAGTCGCTAAGTAGTGGCTAATTGCTCCCATTTTTCTCTATGGGATCCACTACACAATACTTTAGCAGCTGGGCTATGACTGCTTTCCAACCCTGTTGTAGAGAAGTAAACAGTTAAATTCTTATGCGTCCAGTAGGAAAAATATGTTAGCTGTAGGGCATTACATTGAAACCGTTATGCACAAGTTAAAGCATATTAAACCATATCAAATAGCAGTAATACTCAAGGTCAGTTGCATAAATATATCTGGTATAGCATAGATTAACACTTTAATAAATTGTAGGCACCATCGCTAACTTCAGCTATGACTAATCACTCAGTGAAGTGTGGTGACAAACTACACAGCATGTGTTGCTCTACTTTACCAGTGTGTGGCACTCTTGCTGGGCACTATGTGTTTTTGAGAAATGAAGCAGTTGAGAGCAAGGATGCATAGTGTAAGACACATTGAGAATAGACATATGGCTCTCAACTGCAAGACATGGCACATATTCTGGCCACAGGGGGTATTCACATAAATGCAGCAGTGAAGAACAAAGTGTTGGATAGGGACAATGACAGGTACTACGATCATCATTCGAAATATGTGTAATATTTGCAGAAGAAATTGTGGGCACTCTAAATACTATTCCTACTAAAAAATAATGCACTCAATTTTAAAGAACTCTATGTGCTATCTGCAATTTTTACTAAACACCCAATATTAGGCGGATAATGTTTTCATTTCATTAATTGCTCTTGATAACAGAAACATTAACATTCAGGTGCATTTTGTGCAGATGTATTTCCCACACTTATGACTTATGTGCAGGACACTAAGTAACACTTAAACCTGATTACATTTTGGGTGAAGATTAGCATGTGAGTTGTAGCATTTCTATGTAGCTCAGACAATAGCAAGATTATAGGGGTAGTGGAGGGTCCAAATGTGAAACTAATCATCTAACTCTATGTATTGTCCGCCTGTTAAATACGCTTAACACTACCTTTATTCACAGTAGTTAATGAAGTGTGTAAACCAAAATAATCAATAGTAATAATTAAAATAATTAACTATCTTTAGTGATTCATGTGGTATTATGGTAACCATTTTTAATGTTACTGTACATGTGATATGCAATGTTGGCATCTATTTCTAAGTCTTACTCCTTTATGTGCCTCTAAGATAGTAACAGGTAAAGAGTGAACTCTTCTTCCATTTAGTGGACCAATTGCATATCTGGTATCTAACTTGATACTAACCAAGAAGTCACTATTTGCCAGACCCCACAACATACAGGACCAACAATTAATCTGAAACCCATTCATGAAAAGGGGGTTCAGTGAGCCCTCTCGGTTTTATTAAGCCTCATTGCAAAGACAGTAGGATGATGAAAAGAGTGAAGGGACCTCACCAAGTCTTTCCTGTCATTATAAGCCATGCAAACCAATGCATATAATAGCTTTTGCAGAACTAGCTACTTCAATCATAAGGCATATTTCTCACTTGGAGCATAATGTCTCCATTAGCTAAAATCAGACTTTGCTTTCAGCATCTTCTGAACATACTGAAATGTCCATGATGGAATATAAAGCTCTGTAAAGTTTCAACCCACAGTTGCCTTGCTTTGAGTTTTGTCTCTAGGATGGGGGTAAACAATCTTCAATCAGTTCACTTGAAGAAACTAAGAACACTCCACTCTTGGGGGCTATAGCATTATTTAGAGTACTTCTGGCTTTCAGGAATGGCTTGTCAATAGAGTTTGTAAATAGGGCTAAGTGCAATATCCATTTTTGTTTCAGTGTGTTCTTATACACTGATCAGCCACAACATTAAAACCACCTGCCTAATATTGTTCAGGTCCCCCATGTGCTACCAAAATGGCAATGATGCATTGAGATATATGTGGTGACATTCTGTCATCAATCTAATATGGTGATCAGGGATCATGTGACCAAGCTCTTACAGTGGGATAAGCGTTACCTTTTGAAATGGTAACTGGGTAATTCAATACCTTTACAAGTCAGGAAAGAGATAACCACTCCCCCCTTTCTCCATTTCTCTCTGTTCCTTCTTGGCTGTGCTGCAGAGCAGATGTGCAGACGCCATGTGCTAGCATGGTGAACCATGTAACTCTCTGTTGCTTCCTTTTCTTCCATGGTGGATGTGATGTTGAACTTGCAGCAGTGAGCCAATACTAGATGTGAAGGCCTAACCGTGGGTGAGATCAAGCGTGTGGGGAAGGGGTTACTATATAGATAGATAGATTTAAAAAGGGTTGTTGCTCCGTGGGTCTGGGCTGTGTGTTTGTGATACATTTATAGTATTGTGTTGTTGCCTTTTAATAAATACCTTTTAATGTAGATGAACCTTGTGTAATATATATATATTAATTTGGTGATACACCACAATATGGACTCCACAGGACCTCTGAACATGTCCTGTGGTATCTGGCACCAAGACATTAGCAGCAGATCCTTTAAGTCCAGCAAGTTGTGAGGCAGGGCCTCCATGGTTTGAATTTGTTCATCCAGCACATCCCACAGATGCTCAATCGAATAGAGATTTGTGGAATTTGAAGGCCAATACCTTGGCCTCTATGTCATGTCCCTCAAACAATTCCTGAATCAATATTCACAGTGCATTATCCTGCTGAAAGAGGCCACAGCCAGCTGGGTACTCCTTTGCCATGAAGGGCTGTACAGGTCTGTATGATCTCTAGGTAAGTGCTACATGTCAAGGTAACTTCATCAGGAATGCCAGGACGAAAGGATTCCCAACAAAATATTGGCCAAAGCATGGCACTCTGACCAGTCTTTGGATATGCAGCAAACTGCAATGCAATGTATGCTCTGATATCTTTCTATCATGACCAGCAATTTAAGCAACTGTAGCTCTTTTGTGTTATCAAAACAGACAGCCTAGCCTTTTTTACCTACAGTCATCATGAGCTTTGGGCACCCATTGCCTTTCCTTGCACCACTTTTGATAGGTATTAACCACTGCATATCAGGAACACCCCACAAGACTCTGACACAGTCGTCTAACCATCACTATTTGGCACTTGTCAAAGTCACTTAGATTTTTGTGCTTGCCCTTTTTTCCTGCTTCCAACACATGAAATTCAAGAACTGACTGACTGCTCCCTTGACAGGTGCCATTGAGGTGACATTAAAACAATATAATAATTGTTAATTAACTTAATTTGTCACTAGTTTTAATGTTGTGGCTGATCGGTGTACTTGTACATTAGGAAATGGGAAGGGAGATAAAAAGCAATGCTACAGGTGATGAATAAAAGCCCAATATATTTTATGTTTTGGCTGATCAGTGTATGTGTGTATTAATTTATAATAAGCACCCTTTATTCGGATTGTACTTTGTATTTTGGATTGTACTTGGAGATAATTAATATGGAAACTACACTCAAATGAATGGGATCATGAAAATATAAAATGGGCATCTTTCTAAATTAGTTACGGAAATATAGTTAAAAAACAAATGTTTAAGGGATGTGTATGGCAGCGCTACATCTATATGTGAAACAGTATTCAAGGCAGTTCTTTGTAAATTATGCATTAAAAGTACTTCCTTTTTATTTTATTTTCAGCAATACCCTTCAGCTATACATTTTCAAAAAATTCCATTAGTAAAATATTTATATTAAAAAAACAACTCATCTAGAAATTGCTAAAATTAATGTTTTTGTGACATGTTCACTTTTTCATTGGAACATTATGACCAGTAATTTAATGCTAGGATAATGATATTATACTGCATGCATTGGTTAAACCTATAATTTCTTGTCATTTTATACATGAAAATCCTGCTTTGTGCATTCTCTTAAAATTGGATAATGCCAATGAACATTAATCAGAAATAAGCAGAGACCACCATAACAGCATGCAATGTCAAACTGATGAATGGAAGGATTTAAAAGTGTCAAATTTCAGAATCAATTTACAACACAATCTAAGCAGCTAAACTTGTAGGTATTGTTATTAATATTTCAAGAGAACATTAAATTGAATAGGCCCTGTCTGAGAGTTTATCAAAAAATATAATCCTCTATTAAGGAAACAATGTGCGAGAATCTTTACCTTGTTCAAAGAGATGAGAAAATAAAAAAAATTCAAATATTAATTTGTAAAAAAAAAAATGTTTTAAAGTTGACCTGATGTCATTATTCAATGTTTTCTACATAATAATAGTCAGCTGATCTATATGGTAATTATGGTTTGGTGTTTGATGAGTTTGCAACAATTTCATAAGTTCGATATCATGACTAGTTTCTTTTAAAATCTAAGAATAATAAAGCAAAACATAAACAATTAAATAATTTTACAAGGCTAGCTAGAGAATCAAGTTAAATTAGATTAATTTATATTAAATGCTCTGCCCGTGGTACCATTGAACACATTTTACATGATAAATATACTTTTTTTTTTTAAATAGTCATATAAATTCATAATTTTTCCAGCATTATAATTTTACCTTTTTTCTAACAGTATATGGCATTCAATAGAAACTAATGATGCAATTAGTGGTAGGCATTCACTGAATCCCATATCTTCATGGGTAGAATTTGTCAATGACCCCTTTCCCAGTCTGGCTACATAGCAATAAAGCAATCATTTATCAGCACTTTGTATAATATTATAGTAGTTTATTAAGTCATCAAACCATGAAAGGCACACTTTTGAAACTTCACAGTTTCTTTATCAAGACATTAATGACTTGACAGCTTGATAAAGACATTGTAAAGTGTCAGAACATTGCTTTGGATGGTTTGGTGGCTCAATAAACCAGAATTTTATAACAAGTAGAGCTGATGAATTATTGATTATATCAAAAACAATCTATAGATTAGATAGGTAGATAGATAGATAGATAAATGTAATACAACTTTGAATTTATGTACAGCAGTCTTTGTCTGTAGTGCAAATATCTGGAACAATAAACGTAAAACAATTTATTTTACACTTTTTTTTGTATTACTTAATATAGAAAATGCAAATTCAAAACTTTGTACCATAAATAAACATTTCTCTATCCAACTTGCATGCCAATCTGCAGTACATCTTCACACCTTTTCTAAATGACAAGTCAAATATGAATACACTGTAAATGGACACTATAGTTAACCAGGCCACTTCATCTCATTGAAGAGGTCTGGGTGCAATGTCCCTGTGAAATTTAGCCCTGCAGCTGCAAACATTGAGTCAATGCTTTCCCAAAAGGAAGGCCTAAGATGAGCATGGCACCTGCCATGCATTGGTTCCCATTTTGGCTGACGTTGTCATCATCAGAGACTGACCCAGCACCAAGGGATCCAGAACTTAAGTCAGATAAGTATGAAAATGTTTTTTAACCCTTTATTTGCCACTGGGGGGTGCATGAGGGAGGGTTGGAGAGGGACACTGTAGTGTTAGGAACACAGTTTTGTATTCCTAACGCTATAGTGTTGCTTTAGATAATGTGCATACATCTGTGACTCATGCAGAATGCAGAATGCCTCTGTGAATCACCCCGAATGCTTAGTTTCATTCTATAATATACATTTCCTTTCTTGTAATATTAACATTTTCAGCAATTCTTCTGAAAAAATATTTATTTAAAATAAAATGAGAAATGTTTATAACCATTAATTATGTATATTATTGTTTACATTTATAATAAAGTAATGGCATAAATAATATTATCATTTGTTAACTTCAATTTCCATTTTTACATCAAATAGTACATGGATTTTGAGAGTGTTTAAAAGTTAAAAACACCTTACCACATTACTAGAGAGACATAAACAGTCTAGCAATTTCCCATTTCTATGATATCAATTCAGTTTATGTGTATTTTCTTTTGAATATTAATATATTTTTATGTGCTTTATTTTGCAAATTATATATTAAGTGTAGCATACAAGTAATAGTATATTTCAGTTTTTGTTGCCTTGAAATGCTTGCATATCTTGTAAATATTCTTTATTCTCTTGTGAGGCTTTTCACAAAAATTAAAATGAACTAATTTTGAAGTAAAAGTAGTAGGAAAAAATTGTTTTTTTATGTTGTATCTAGTTTTTTTTTTATTAAAAAAATGGTGTTTTAAATAATAACAGATATGATTCAAAATAATTACTTAATTGAACTTAAGTTAGCCCATGTGAATCTATCCGGTTGTTCCTTATTCTGATTGAAAGCTAGGGGAACGTTCCTTAAAAACTGATTTGTGCCTTGATTTAATATTTTTGAATAAGCTTTTCAAATTATTTAATATTTTTGGCTAAATTAAATATAAAAAAATAAAAAATATCATATATTTAAAAATATATCATTATAGAAAAAAAATATTAAACTATTAAATCATTTTAAAAGTTTAGCCAAAAATATTAAATCATTTAAATAGCTTATCCACAATATTAAATTGAGGACCGTATCTGCTAGCCGTTGAGGAGTACTACATAACAGTCCCACCATCTACATTCAAAAGTGAATTGGTGTGAAATAAAAAACAATTAAATGAATTATCTGGGGATGAACAGTTATGCAGATTAAACTCTGTTGGGTGGATGGGCAGTTTTAGCTCTTCAACTGATCCAAACAACTCATCTATTGCATGTAGTACCAGAAAATAAGGAGCTGCTGTTATACAGATATTCATGTTTACCAGGGGATCACAATTTACTTTTTTAAGCCTCATCTAGTTATCACTCTCGTTAGGATGCACAATAAGGAGTACTGTTTTCTTTTTTTCCTTTTTTGTTATTTATACAGTTTTGGGTTGGACAACATGTCAACTCATCTTTACTGATTTGCTAATTTAGAGATTTGTTTTAATGTCAATTTCACTAAACCTTAATTATTAGACTGCTTGATAGGACAGCTCAATTATTTAAAAATCAAATACCCTTCATTCACAATAATCCCCACTTATTTAATTATATGCCTGGCTACAAACCTACTCTTTCTTTTAAACAATTTTTAAAATAAATATATACACAGATACACAGGTACAGAGTTTATGCATGCAATTCATATGATTTTATTTGTTTTATTTGTTAATCTTCTACCAACCACTACCAAATGTCTTTGTTGTCCTTGTCTTTATTTCTAATGGAAGTTTTTTGTTTAGTTTTTTTGTAAAATAACAATGTCATATATTACTTCTAAGTCTTAGACATTGAAACATCTAATAATGTCCTCATGTCCTTCTACAATTTTATTATTAAAATGTAGTGTTCATCTTTGTTTAATATCTTAATGCACATCAAATATTATATTGTGTCATGTTTCCCCTATTTTTCAAGGACCAAAATCGAGTCCTTAGCTTTCTTATATTTTACTTGCTATTATTACTTTTTTTTAAAAAAGTTTTTGCATTATTTAATACACTGTATTTTTATCAAGTGTACATGTATTTATTTTTAAAAATCTTCAAATGATTAAAAAAAAATAAAATATATATATATATATATATATAAATATATAAAAGTGATTCATAAAATTTTGCGTTTTAAAAAGATGCAACAAATAAACCCCAATATTACTTTATTTTGCATGACATGGTGATCTAAAAGCTCCTTCTGCATACATTAATAAATCTGTTTATTATTATTTTTGTAATAACACAATGGAGTTTATTTACTAAACCTCTTACTGTAGTGAATTAAAAGCTGAAAACTATAGTCACGAGATAGCTAGTTATGACAAAAATTCCGTTCACTACAATTAGTTTCAGTAAATAAATACTATAGAATTGATGTACATAAATTACCATCTGATTTTAAATATCTTCTAATTTATAAATAATATGTGTAAGTATGCATTATATGTTAAAATAGCCACTGTACATTTAAAATATGAATTTAAACAATAAAATGATCTTTGCAGTACTTTTACCACAATAAAATGGATACCGTTTTGGATTGATGGAGTTTAGATGTTGCAACAGCGATTAGCATAAATCTGATTGCTTTGACCTATATAGTAATGCTGCTATATGCACTGATGCTATGCTGAGAAAGAATTTTAATTGAACGAACAAATTGTTGCAAATTCTACATGTATATTTTTGAAGTTTCCAGAAGGGAGACAGTTTATAGTAACTTGTTGTAAGATATGTCAAAACTGGAAAAAATATTCTTTCACTTTTATATGATATTTACAATGATATGTATTACTATCACTTATCTTGTCAAATGTAATACCAGGTTTTAATATACTGTATGTTAAAATGGATTACTTTATATCATTACATCATGTATTCCAATTATTGTCACAAAAACTTAACAATTATGGCTTCAGATAACATTCTAAAGCAAAGACAATCTTACCTTGTTCACTTTTAGGTGCAAAAAAAGTATAAATACTTAAATATATATATATATGTATATATATATATATATATATATATATCTAAAGAACATGTAGTGTGCACATAGGTCTTTATAGCCAAATATACCTGTTTTTCTGTTTTGTTTTGTTTTTTTACATGTGGAACAGAGTTGCTGTGATATTTCACCTACAGTTTCTATTTTTTAACACCTTTATACATGCTTGATGAAGGTCCGTTGTTGGGATCAAAATGCATTAGATTATCTCTAAATACATGTGTTATATATATAAGCAGTAACATGTCCCTATTTGAATAGGGTTTCATCAACATACTTTATTTTGTAAACTATATATGATGTTATGAGAAAAATACATGTCTGTTGTCATCCAATTGTGTTGTACTTTCTTTCTGAATTACACTTGACATTATAGATGTATAACATTTTTAGTGCATCATGGCTCATATGGTTTTACTGTTGTAGGAATTTTGAAACTCATAATTGCAAGGCAAACATAGTATTATAATACTCTATTACTTATCATTCTATTACTCTTATTTTTTAAATGGAAATAGGTGGGTTGTGACTTTACATACATTTCTACATAATGCATGGTTTAAAAGAGGCATAATAGGCAAAAAAAATACAAGAAGATTAATATTTTTCAATGTGTGCTGCTATATAAGCATACTGCATGATTTTAATACATTTACCTTAATTTAAAAAAATATATATATATATATTTTTTATAACTTATATAGATGGTAGCATTTGGTAATAGACTCTTATCTTTAAAGGACCACTATACCAATACAAGTTTGTTTTCCTGGCACTATAGTATTAATAGGTGCCCGCCACCCTCATGGCCCCCCTCCTGCCGGGCTCTAGGGGGAGGAAAGGGCTAAAGGCTTACCTTTCTCCAGCGCCTGTCAATGAGACAGACACTAGAGGCTGGATTAACCCATATGTAAACATAGCAGTTTCTCTGAAACTGCTATGTTTACAGCAGGCAGGGTTAAACCTAGATGGACCTGGCACCCAGACCACTTCATTAAGCTGAAGTGGTCTGGGTGCCTATAGTGGTCCTTTAATGTCTTACCAGTGAAGAATTTTATTCACATGCCTTTGAATTTAATGGTATTTTATTAAGCAACTTGAATTTTTGAGAAAAGACAAAGTGGTTGATTTAATAAACGTCAAACAACAATGGATGAAGAACTGATTTGAAAAATAAAGGTCAAAATAGAAACATAGAAACATAGAATGTGATAATAACCATTTGGCCCATCTAGTCTGCCCAATTTTCTGAATACTTTCATTAGTCCCTGGCCTTATCTTATAGTTAGGATAGCCTTATGCCTATCCCACGCATGCTTAAACTCCTTTACTGTGTTAACCGCTACCACTTCAGCTGGAAGGCTATTCCATGCATCCACTACCCTCTCAGTAAAGTAATACTTCCTGATATTATTTTTAAACCTTTGTCCCTATAACTTAAGACTATGTCCTCTTGTTGTGGTAGTTTTTCTTCTTTTAAATATAGTCTCCTCTTTTACTGTGTTCATTCCCTTTATGTATTTAAATGTTTCTATCATATCTCCCCTGTCTCGTCTTTCCTCCAAGCTATACATGTTAAGATCATTTAACCTTTCCTGGTAAGTTTTATCCCGCAATTCATGAACCAGTTTAGTAGACCTTCTCTGAACTCTCTCTAAGGTATCAATATCCTTCTGAAGATACGGTCTCCAGTACTGTGTACAAGTGAGGTCTCACCAGTGTTCTGTACAATGGCATGAGCACTTCCCTCTTTCTACTGCTAATACCTCTCCCTATACAACCAAGAATTCTGCTAGCATTTCCTGCTGCTCTATCACATTGTCTGCCTACCTTTAAGTAATCAGAAATAATCACCCCTAAATCCCTTTCCTCAGATGTTGAAGTTAGGACTCTATCACATATTCTGTACTCTGCCCTTGGGTTTTTACGTCCAAGATGCATTATCTTGCACTTATCCACATTAAATGTCAGTTGCCACAATTCTGACCATTTTTCTAGTTTACCTAAATCATTTGCCATTTGGTTTATCCCTCCTGGAACATCAACCCTGTTACATATCTTAGTATCATCAGCAAAAAGACATACCTTACCATCAAGACCTTCTGCAATATCACTAATAAAAATATTAAAGAGAATGGGTCCAAGTACAGATCCCTGAGGTACCCCACTGGTGACAAGTCCAAGCTTCGAATATATTCCATTAACTACAACCCTCTGTTGCCTGTCACTCAGCCACTGCCTTACCCATTCAACAATATTGGAATCCAAACTTAAAGATTGCAGTTTATTGATAATCATTCTGTGTGCAACAGTGTCAAAAGCCTTACTGAAATCTAGGTAAGCAATGTCTACTGCACCACCCTGATCTATAATTTTAGTTACCCAATCAAAAAAATCAATAAGATTAGTTTGGCATGATCTCCCTGAAGTAAACCCATGTTGTCTCTGATCTTGAAATCCATGTGTTTTAGATGTTCAACAATCCTATCCTTTAACATGGTTTCCATCACTTTCCCCACTACTGAAGTAAGGCTTACTGACATTCGCTAACTTCCAATCTTCTGGGACTACTCCTGTTAACAATGATTGGTTAAATAAATCTGTTAATGATTTTGCTAGTACACCACTAAGCTCTTTTAATAGCTTTGGGTGTATTCCATCAGGTCCCATTGACTTATTTGTCTTTATTTTTGACAGTTGAAATAGAACCTCTTCCTCTGTAAACTCACGTGTAATAAATGACTCATTTATCCTTTTTCTCAACTGAGGTCCCTTTCCTTAATTTTCATCTGTAAATACAGAACAAAAATATTAATTGAGGCAGTCAGCTAGACCTTTATCCTCTTCTACATACCTTCCTTCTTTTGTTTTTAATCTAACTAATCCTTGTTTTACTTTTCTTTTCTCATTTATGTATCTAAAAAAAGTTTTGTCCCCCTTTTTTACTTTTTTAGCCTTTGGGAACTAGTCCTTAAAAATGTGGTGACAGCTATAAAAATATAAACAACATGATGTGAAGAACTATCAACATTATGATGCCTCAAATGTATTACATTATTATAACTTTCCAAACTATTGGAAAACATAAATATATCGATGCAGCATGTCAGTTTTTACAATATCCTAATTTGCAAATTGCTATTATGCCAACAAAGCCTAAAAATATTACCTTTTAAAACAAGGATATCCCAACCTTGCAAACCCAAACAAGGGGGGGAACAATACAACCCCCCGTGTACCAGCCTCCCCAAAAAAGAACCCCAGACCAGGGCCAATAGTGAGAAAGGAGGCTGACCTGCAGTCCTCTCCAAGTACCAAGGTAAAAGAGGATTATGTTACAGTTTGTCTATGTGTATAGGGGTTGCATTGTATGCTTGCAATTGGAGGCATCGGGTGTGTGTATATAGGGACTGTAATGCTTGTGTATGGGGATACAGTGTGTGAACAATAGTTGTAGTGTCTGTGCATGGGGGTATAGTGTATATAGTATGTGAGTATATAGGGATCTACTCTGTATATAAGGAGTATAGTGTTTGCACAGAGAGTGTAGTATATGTGTATGAATTTGTATGGGAGGGATAGTGTGTGCATAGGAGCTAGAGTATGTGCAGAGGTATAATAGTGTGTGCATTGTGTGTGTACTGGATATAGTGTATGTGCTAGGGGGTGTAGTGTTTCTATATAGGCTTTATTAATTTAATAATTGTTTAAAAATAAAACAGTTTAAAAAAACCATACACCTCTCCCTGTTGTTAGCATGATCATGGTGCTCTTCCATGTGTTCATGAAAGCCTGTTTCTGTTTTTTATGGTCTCCCATGTGTCCATATCATTTCCTTGTGGTGTAGTTTCCAACTTGTGTCAATGCCCCATGCCCTCCTTGTGTCCATGGTCCCACCTTGTGGCCATGTCCCCATGTCCCTCTTGTGACCATGTTCCCTTTGCATCCATACCCATGCCTCCTTTGTGTTCATGTCATCATGTCCTCTTTTTCCAAGTGTCTTGTCTTCCCTTGTGGCCATATCCACATTTTTCACTTACAGCCATTCCCATGTACTCCATTCTGTCTTTGTCCCCCGTGTTTCCAGGTCCCCCAATATTTATATGTCTCTTCCTTATGTCCTCATATCCTTCTTGTGTCCATGTCTACCACTTGTGGCCATGTCCTCATGCCCTACTTGTGTCTATGCCCACCTGCCCCACCCTATGTTGATGTCCACCGCTTGTGACCATGCCCCCTTATGGATCAATGCATTCAATTTGTGTTCACAACACTTCATGTGCCAATGTCTCCCTTGTGTCTATGACCCTTTTGTGTCCATGTCACCATTTTACCCTTGTCACCCTATAGTGCCCATGTCCCCCCACAGTGCCCATGTTCATAGTCCATGGCCTCTCTACCCTCTTTTATGTCCACGTTCCCCTTGTGTACAAATCTCCCCCCTTTAATGTTAATATGTCCCCTTGTGTCCATGGTTTGTGTTCTTTTCTGTGTCTCCATATGTCCAGTACATTTGAAGTCTGGCTGAACAACATGTTAGTGAGAGTCCTATGAGAAAGTATGCTCTGTCAGAACTATTCTGTCAGGTGCTTTGTGGAGGTGATGGGGCACTTCTGGTTTGCACATGAGTAGCTTTGTGTTGGCTGCCTGATACCCCTGTTACTATGGTGCCCTGTGAGTTTGCACAGCTCACACACCCCGAAGGCTGGCCCTAAATGTGTAGTAATAATTAAATTAGAATTAATGATATAGGATCTATCCATTAAAGGTTGATTAGGATCAGCTTTATAACTAACTTTTACAATTTTGAATGAAAAATACATCTTGAAGTCAAATATCAAAGCTAACTATTTACATTTTTTAACCAACTCACACTTGCTAGTATATACCAAGCTATGTACACCTTGAAAAGTAAAATAACTTTATATTGTATTTGTTGGATTCATTTCATATTCTAGGTACTACTTCTTAAACTAAGATAGTTGAATATTATCCTGTGCTTGTATTAAATATTTTAAGATGTATACATTTTTATTCATTTGAATATTACATTGCAGTGTCATCTACAATCTTTTATACATATGCATTAAGTAGTTCAATATAAATAAGCAATAATGAGAAAGTGGTGTACAATATCTTCCCGATGTATAAACAAAAGAGTAAAATTAGAAAAATAGAAAAACTATATTTTTAAAGTAGAGAACTGCATACACTTCACATTTATGATTAAGTTAACGTTTGATCAAACTGTAGCTACATCCACTCAGAA